CTGGTGGGGTTGGAAAAATTTGGATTTTTTTCCCTCCTAGTATTTCTTTTCGCGATAGCCATCACGACACACTGCACTTCAGTAATATAATTCTAAACATAATAAATGTATGGATACGATATACTTGTGGTGCGTCACGACACACCACGACATAATAATATAATTCCATTAGTTAAATTCTGCCTGACTTATGCGCCAGAGTCATGGATAATTGGGCACTTCAGGTGCACTCCACCCAGAGAAGCCGTGGCGCATATTTGATTGATGTTATATTCCACTCGTATCAAAAGGTCTTTCAAACGAATAGAATACTTCGGTGATATAACACACATACATAGTTTTATTTAAATTCAAAGAAAGGAAGCGGCTAATGAAATACCCTATAAATATCAAAAATTTTTGGAATACGAAAATGTTCGCTTTTTTCTGGAAAACTAATCACTGACTTATGTAACTCAGAAAATTCTAATTGGTTGTGCATTTTTTTGACATTTCAAATCTTCTATTGAAATCTAAATCAACAAATTCGGTAAAATGTAAAATGATGACTTCGAACCTTTCAACTTACCGGGCTCCATTCGATACTATCACTTTAAATATACAATGTATAGTCATTTTCAATACGTCCATTTTGATATGAATGAACATAACTTGTTAGCTCCATTATAAAAATGGATGTTGGTTGGTTGGTTGGTAAGTGATAAACTTCTGCATCGCTCAACCGATCGTGATGAAACTTGACATTTATAAGTAATCTTTCATAGAGAAGGTTTTTAGGCCATACATTTTTCTGTAACTCGCCACTAGATGGCGCTATAGAACAATTTTTAGAAAGCACTGTTCTATAACGCTGTGCACGCATAAGTTCGTTGATTCTGATTCTGTCAAAACATTGGAACAGCAGCATAGTACTAGTATTTTATATATTAGGATTAAGAGAGTGTCCAATAGGGCATCTTTCTCAAAACAACCTTCACCATCTTCAATGTTTGGGTACCTTGTGATAAAGTGGTATTTTATGTAACGAGTATAGGACTGGTGCAATTAATAAAAATGCCTAAGAGAATAGTAGGCCCAACTATTTCACTTATCGACTTAAAAGTTACCTCAAATAATGAAAATATAGTGGCGGTTACAGATGTTGTATCAGTTGATCATATTTCTGAGTTGATACATGTAGAACTGAAAATTAAAACTAATGTCCGTTCGTCCACTTTTAAAGCAATAAGGGATTTCAAACCTTCATATACAGGGTTTTTATTAAACACGCGACAAAAATATAAGGGACAATTTATTCTAACGATATTCTGTCCTTTGATGATTTTTGATTGAGCGAAGATACGGGACAAAAAGGATTTCGACAATAACGATCTTAGTAATTTTGAAATTATAAACGTAACCGAAATAAAAGTATAGCCTACTACACTGGACCTACGAAGTGATAATAAATCTAACAATTCCGTTGGTACCTATCAACAACATTCGGATTACTACAAACGGCTGATCCTGGTGTTTTTTAAAGAGTTCGTGAGTCGATGAGAAAAACATTCGGATGCAGGAATCCAATGCAGTTGTTGTAGATTAAGAAACATTACCTGTAATTTTTGGTAATAAATTGTTATTGTCGAAATTCTTGTTCGCCCCGTATCTTTCTTTGTGGAAAAAATGTTTCTGTATTTGATGTCCATGTTCTACGGAATCAAATTCATATCACGAAAATACTCTCCCTGGATCACAGATAATATTGAGCTATTATTATTAAGGGGCATCGCACACAGACGGTGGAAAATAACTAAATTGTCATAACATTATGATTACTATAAGATGTTGAGAAACTTTACCACACTTGCATGTCGAAATAAGAAAAAACTACTCTTAGTGTGCTTTCCATACATATCTTCCAATTGTTGGGCATATTATAAATTTTTGAATAAATTGATGGATATGAAAAATAAGAAATAAAACTTTCTATGCTTTTTTATCACTTTTATTTGTGAATATTACTGGAGTTCTTTCCCAACACCAAATCGTTATTTTTAACACCTCGACGCGTCCATTCCATACACTTCAGTTCATTAAGNTCGTACCTTTGGATTAATTTTTTCTTGGTTTGGCCGAGCAT